ACTATACTATACTATACTATACTATACTATACTATACTATACTATACTATACTATACTATACTATACTATACTATACTGTGTATCTCCCTATACTCCCAGTGTATATTCCCTGTGTATCAATCCTGAGGTGCATCTTGTTTCACTGAGGAGCTCTGGGAGATGAAGTACCCGATGAGACACCTAGAGCTCCATTGGAAGAAGACAAAGAACAAGTCTGGTGGAACATGGATAAAAGCCCATATTCAGAATTACTTTGGTAATCCTTGTGGTGATAAGGGCAGTGAAACATCAATATTTCTCTGCCCTTATTGCATCTGCTGATAGTCATCTAGTGGCCTAGTCTCATTGATCCTCTCATTTTTCCAAGGATATTAGGTAATTAACACTAATTCAGATTTTATCTTTATAATTTCTATCTTAGAATTGATTACATATGTTGGTTTAACTATCATACTTTCTCTAATTTATCTTCCTTTGAAATTATGTTTTAGCCTTGTTTTTTAATCTTCAGTATTAAAAACATTCTTAAATTTTATGCAATACTATCAATTCTGAAGAATAAAATATCAGATAATTATTTCTTCTTCTTTTAAATACCTGATTTGGTTTTCAAAACCACAGGTTTAAAGATGCTGTAGGTTTACAGATGATACCTAATTGTACCACACGAAAAATAAGAAGTGACAATCCTAAATCAGCACCAAAGTTTGGTAAGTTAAAGAAACTCACTGATCTATTTAATTCTGAAACATTTTAAAATACATCAATAGTACTGCTGTCCTTAAAATATCTACTGCCAAAATTTGTCATTAATTATTTTCCAAAAGTATATTAGACACATTTACACACAAAATATTTCAGTGTTCTCAGTTGTTAACCAATGAAATTCCTGCATTTTTCTATGTTGCAATTGCACCCTCCCAATCCAAAAAGTGCAGAAAAGCATGTATCAAGTATTTAACTGGAGTCTACTTTAGAAGTGTCCTTGTTGGGTTCAAGCTAAGTTGTAGGGCAATTTGTTTTGATTCAGATCTGAAACAGAAACCTCTTCAGAAAATCCAAAACTTTGTAAATCTGTTTAGTAAGAATAATACAGAAGTAAGCAAATAGCTAAAATATTGTTTTTTGGTCAGATACTTCCTGGGTACACTTAATAAACTAATCCTCTTGTAAATTTTGCATTTATTCTTGTTACCTTTCCCTCTGCACAGTGGTATAATTATGACATTGTTCCAATTGATAAGCAAAGATGTAATCATTACATATATTTTAAACAAATCATACAGCCATTACATATTCTACACCTGAAGTGTTATCATTTTTCAACATTCTCACAGCATTTGTAACTTCCTTTTCATCCATTTTCTTTGACACTAACATTGTAAAGCATTTTTTTCAGTTCCAGTCTTCAATGGATTATTCCCATACAAAGTTCCTAGGTCTCCAAATGCCCCAGTCACTGTTTCTACATTCTTTTATATCATTCTAATTCTTCTGTTCATGCTACCTAATTCTTCCCCCCCCCCCCTTTCAGGATCACATTCATTCAGAATATTGCACATTTTTCCCCAAATTCCTTCCATTATCACCATTCACTGGAATGTAACATAATTACCAACCTATGGATTCCTATAGTATGCCTGTACAATAACCTAGATTGCATTAATTCATATTTTCTGACATGTTTTAGCCCTTTCATTCATAATCAAATCTATACCTTCACTTCTCTGCACGTATTCATCAATTGCACTCCACAACATCAGACCATCTTATTCAGATTGATTGATTACATGCTTTCCCTTTCTCTTAGTTTCACAAACATATAACATAACTATTTTTTTTCTTTCATTTGTTAATTCGTGCTTTTTATCGTTTACTCCTCTTTATTCTATTTTGCAATCTTTCCATGCCATGGTTGTCACCAGATAAGTAAATAGATATTGACCTCCATTGTCCATCATGGTTTTCATCAGCTGAGACTTTCACATAAAGCTTTTTAGTAAGTCAGATAAGGTTTAGTCTAGGTTCATCATATCTTTGCAAATGGTGCCCAACAATAAGAGAAATACATTGTACGCACGTAGTTGAAGATAAAATGCAAAGGATGCAAATGTTTTAGGACTTTTCAGGTGGCAAGTGTATTACATTTTGCTTTATGTTTCAGCTTTGTTTCTTAAAATATTATCTATAATCTACAAGATGGTTCAGACAAACATTTATGCAACTAAAAGGTAATAATCATGTTTACATGTATTTGTAAGGTAAAAATAAACATATACAGTGGTGTTTAAAAGTTTGTGAACCCATTTGAATTTTCAATATTTCTGCATAAATATGGCCTAAAATGTGATCTGTTCTCCCCAAAAATCCTAAAACTAGATAAAGAGAACCCAATTAAACAAATGAGTCAAAACCATTATAATGTCTCATTTATTTATTGAGGAAAATGATCCAAAGCTACATATTTCTATGTTTATCTTTATTCCCTTTATTTTTGTGAGAACTAGGGAGGGTCAAGTCTGAGAAACTTTCTCAAATTACTTTTCTGCCTCAGACTTAAATTTCTTTTATCTGACCATTGTCTTGGTGGCGAATCTTCCTTAACATTATTCCTACTGCCCATTACAATTTCATAGGAAGAAATCTCAACAGAGATGTCAAATGACATGTGTGTTATAACATTGTCGCACAAATTATGTGATACTTGTATTAGATGTCATGGCACAAATTATATAACTGTATCATTGATATGATGACTTCATGATGCACATGTCGTCATTTTGACGCTGTGGCTTGTAACAGATGGTTGTGATGTGAATCCTACCTTCTTGGCATATTGTGCAAACCCCAAAAGTGAATTAATCTCATAACCAATTTATGTGTGCTGTACAAACACAGCCTCTGTGATAGTATTTCTATTGTGGCCTGCTTCACTACCATGGTATCTTTTGAAATACTGAAGCAGAGAAGATATTCTTTGAGACATAAGGTCTAGCTCACCATTCTGAGATTTTTTTGAAACTGGTCCTACCAAATATATTACATTCGAAACTACCTCATTAGTTTACAAGATTGCTGTGCCTTTATGATGCCAGAGTACCTGTTTCAGGATAAATTAATATAGCTGATTAAATTTTGCTCATTTAATGATAGCAAGAGGGTGAAGAGAATCATTTATGCCCTAATCAGATCCAAACGTTACAGATGCTACAAGAGCAGAATGGTAAATTAGCACACTTCAAAAAATAGTATTTTTAGTATTTAAATAGCATTTAAGTTTTTGTCCAGGCACTTCAAAGCAGTACTCATCATTCTCCATGCCACTTCCTCTCTCTAAGGTAAAACAGGCTGAAAGAACAAGCAACTAGCCCATTTTTCTGGTTGTACAGGGATTCAAATATTTTTTTCCTCATCTTAGCTCAACTTACTGTGACAATTTGTAAAAATCCTTGCTGAAAAACTCTGCATAAGAATAGTTGTGAACACACCCTTTGTCCCCCCCCCCCCCCCGCTATAACTTTCAATTATTGTGGGATCCATTTAAAAGAGGCAAAGCATGAGATACAAGGAGGCAGACTGCAGTGTGATGATATCCACAGCTAATACCGGTGGGATGTCCTTTGCTAAGTATTCATGAGTCCTAGAGCATTTCCTAAGTAGCATTCAGATCCCTTGAGATTGTAATTATTTTATTTTAAAATAATATTTTATTCTGACAGAGATATATTTTAC